TGCCGGCGAAACGTTTGAGAATGTACCAAGTCCACTGTCCGATGCTGGGAATCATGACAACTACTATGACAGACGACTTCGGACTAGGGACGTTCTACTAAGTCGCCCTGACAACAAGACCAAGTTGCGACAACGAGGTCAACCCATTTCTTATGGCTGGAAATTCATCTCGGACGACTTAGGTTTCAGTAACTTTGGAAAGGCCCAAATGTGTGTGTGTTTATTTTATTTTATTTATTAGTTAATTACTTTTTATCTATCTCATCTCCATATTTGTCTATTTGTGTACCATTTACGTCTCCCAGATTCACGGCATTCGCTGGCAAGCAGAAGTTAGCTAAATTAATTATAATTATCCTATTGTTATTTTTCAGTAGCAAGTTTAACTTATTCACTAGATGCAAGTATGCTTACGCCGACAAGAAGGGTGCCTTTAACTTCAGACATTTCAGATTATAAAATCTTGGGAAATAATTTATAATAGAAGTTAATTAAAGGTTGGATTGCTGTATCATGCTTTCAAATAAACTCATAACATATAGACTGCCCCACAGAAACTAGACTCTTGGACCAAAGAGTCTTGTCAATGTATCCATTTGACAAGGTAACTGATCTATTAACGGAATGTAGGGAAATACTTGGTTCTTCCCCACCGCCCCTACGAATACAGCCGATGTTTATGGTGTATTTTTCCTCTTTTTTGCCCGGTTCTAGTGCTAATAGAAAAGCATAGAACCCGCTTTAGGGGCCAAAATCATGCAGTCTATACAAAAATGTCTGTACTTCACATGCGGCCATCAATCACTTTCGACCATCCTTCAACGAATTTTATGCTCCACTTATACATAAAGAGCATGCCCAATAAATGCGGGGTCTTGTGCCCCTTTATGAAACGATAGGGTCGATCAAATGGGCCAGAATTCACGGAGTCAACCGGAATATTTTCTTTCCCTTACCAAAATCAAATATACCCTTCTCTGTGGGCATGTTGGCCAGTAGGCCCCGGGCCTTCTTGCACCATTTCGCCTTGACCAGACGCGGTTTATAGCAAAGCACTTGAGGCAGTGCAGCACAAAAGTGTTTCTTTAGAGGATGAGCTTTTTCAAAGAGGCGATAAATAGTCTTCTTCCTGAAATGCGCCCGAAACGCGCTCATATGCGCTCTTGTGTTTCTATCTAAGGCGATGATCATTCGCAAAAAATCGTGAATAAAATGGCCAAATATTCACCTTTCAACACTTTACATGCACTAAAAGGGCTGATATGGCCTGCGAGTGTTGGCGTTTTGGCCCCCTTCTTCAAAGACCGCATCGAAGCATCCAAGTCTGAAGGATTATCGCTTCTAGGGCTTCTATCATGTGGAAGAGGGAATAGCGATTTAGGCACTGCATTACTCGTTTCGCCCCCACTCATCTGCATGATATTGCTCTTCCACAGGTCCTGTCGCATGTCCACCGAGGCCCTCTACGAGCCGGATCATTGCAATCACCTGTGCTGCGGCCGTGGCCAGCGCAGCGTGGAAGAGAGCAGCATGGAGTCCTGCAATTGTAGGATAACACCGGAATTTCAGGTGATCTGCGAGAAATGCCTCAGAAACACAACGCGTCATTTCTGTCGCTAACCGGCCCTACACCACTCGTCTCCTAGCCTCCTTCCGGCAAATCCAACTTCACTATACATAAACGCCATCCAATCCCACTGCGAACTGTACCCTAATTTCACACTTCTTACAACACCTCTTCCAAGCCTTCGCTAATTATTCGGCATACTCACATGTGAGTTGATGTGAGAAGCTGTGTCATGTAGACCCTGCTAATGACGAAAAAGAATGCTTTGTATACCAGATCGGTCTGTCCAGTCAAAATCAGCCTGCTCTTCCATGAGAATACTTGTATTCACTTTATGTATTGCTTTTTTACGTCCTATTTATTTCACTATCTCCTATTCCTCATATATATATATATATATATATATATATGTGTATATTTATATATGGGCTTATAACAAAATCGTGAATAACATAATGCATGCAATAATATTTTACTCGATGATACTTCATCGCATGCTCTGGAATTGTGCCTATCAGTGCAGCTTATATGCCTTTCATCGCTAAGCTTATTGTAGGGTATGATTTTGCATTCACAGATCAGTGAACATATTATCTGTCAAACACCAAGAAGGCATTTTCCTTTTTATTTTCACCATTAAATCCTTCGTAAAAACTAATTTTGACAAGGTTTTGTCCATAAATTGTTCCAATAATCGTTCTATCTGCGTAACAAAGTTGATCTTGAAAGAATTTTTTGCTCTACCGGTCTATTGGGCCTACTTGCATTTTGCGTAAAAGTGTATGGTGAAGAGATTCGAAAATTGATGCCACCAGAAGACGAAGACGTATTTCTCTTATACTTCATCATAATGTAAAGAGAGCCGCCCGTAATATGACGAAGAAGGCTTTTCACTTTTTCACCGGAACTGCAGAAGATTGCCTCTGGGACAGCGCCAGCAAAAATGTTTCAGTAAAGCCAACTGATAGCTGGCCAAGAGGATTTTGGTGTCGTCTTTTGGTGGGATTGATCTTCGAATAGCTACATCGTCATATATTTTCATTTAACACTGAAGTGGTCTCAACAATCAAGTAAGTGTTGTCTGTAGTTGTGACAAGCTTGAGATATCAGTCGAGTGGCTGGAAATAGCGGGAAAGATATGAAAGGGCAAGCTGGCCGACTGCAAATGTCCTGAAGGTCAGGTTCTGGGCAAGTTTCATCCTAACAACAGAAATGAGGAGCAATAAAAAATTGAGGTAACCACTCTCAACTGATTTGGGAATTTATCCACGCCTTTTGCATCGAATTCGATTGGATAGATAGTTTTTGCAGTTAAGAGGAATGGACAAACTTAAGCACCTTTTTGGCTGCAGCTATCAGGAATACAACTGCTGATGATATGTCCGAATCCCAGCTTGTGTCAGGGAAAGTGATAGAGATTCTGCCGCGAATACGCGACTTCACTACGCCGGCTATCACAAAAGTTAGCTTTCATGCAGCATAAGGTTCCGGCTCGACCTCAACTCAGTCTCAATGGGACTCCGAGTGGGGATTCGAACCCTTTATGTGACGGACGCAGAGGCCAGCATGTTATTCGCTAGGCCGCACCACCCTCTACGGCTATGCAAATTGGCAAAATGATCAGTTCTTATTTTCGTTTATAAGTAGGTTTACGAAAATGCAACTACCCTTTCCTTCATCACCTTAAACGAAATAGGATGATATTGTTGTACAACAGGATTCAGCCGTGGTCTTCTGATGAGTTCGGCCTTCAAATTCCTTCATAATGCGCTTTCATATGAAATGAAAGCCTCCCAAACAAAAGTATCCCATGAGATTCATCCAAACCCAGATCAGATCCTTCCAACTTCACCTGTTCCACGAGGACTTGTGTGCTGTTGAGCCACCATGTGTTTTTTTTTATGGCAGCTCACTTATCAATACATCCCACTTTTGTACATTTGCATAGAACTAGGCCAGGCTGAAGGTTTCTATCGGTTGATCGGCCGCTGGTACCATTCTCTATAGCGCAATATACAGCCTCCAAGTTGCTGGAGGATAGCAAAATCTGCTCCTACCACACGTAGATGGGGTACAAAGAGGTGGTCACACCGATGCACTTATCGAAGCACACAAAAATTAGACGATTTACTGAATAATAGTGTAATTTTCCCAACCAAAATTAAATGAATAGACCTTACATTGTTATTTGATTCTCCTCAATCTTGCTTCCCAAAAGGTTGCCTCGTACAGGCTGCTTCGCACATATCTCAGCTGCATCCCCAAAAGGAGTTACATGGGTTAGAGGGCAATTGACCCGATATGAGTATTTGTTATAATTATCACTAGGTTTTGGATACAATTACTCACCGAGCTCCCTCCTAGCTCCTTCAGGGGCAGAAGACAACTTCACAATTGGGCTCTTCCAAGAAGACGTCTTGGAAGGTGCCAAGTCCACAATCGGAGGCAGGAGCCTACCATGATCACTTTGGCAGAAGACTTCCTCCGGATAAGG